TACAACTTACCGTGGCCACCTCTAGTCTGGCGGGTCCTGTTCCTAAATTGGAGGTTCACCAGCAACTGGTTCAGCTAATTTGTCAAAGCTGATGCACTCCTCCCTTTCCCTGGTGTGCTAGTTCTTGTGTTTATCTGATTTTGGTCTGAAGTGGTTCTGGATGATGGCTGGCTAAAATCTACTTTTTGTCAGGTTTGGGGGAGAGCACAGTGGCCTGCTGCTGGTTTGGCTCCCTGCGTTGTCTTGCCGTGCTATGGGACAAGGGCTAGTGCCAACGCAAAAGAGGGGTTGGGAACCAACAGCTGAAACTGGAACTGGGGAGAAAGGATGTGGCTGCAGTCGCATCTTGAGCGGATCTAGCAGGCTGCCAGTGAAAGGGGGGAGAGCTGCTCCCCCTTCCAGCTCCCTGCTGTTTGCCTTATGTTAGTTTTGGAGTTTGCTGGACCACTTCTTGAGTTGATTCAACTCGCTAACCCAGTCAAACCTTTCACTGATGTCATGATTTGAATCAGCTTGGGAGGGGCCCTTAACTAAGTGAGGGGGTAGAACAGCATTGCTGGGGGTTGGGAAGGAGCAAAAAAGGGTTTGGGGATAACGAGGCTCTGCTAATTGCTTTAACCAGGCCAAATTCCAGTTCAGTGAAAGAGAATCAGTATCCTGAAGGTAGCACTGACCTCGTGGCACCCAGAGGCGTCACAGATCATTGAAAGTGGAAAGGAGCAAGCGGGGACTTGTGGAAAAGGCCTGTGGATTAGTTAAAGAAAAATATGAAAAATTCTGACATCTTAAAGTTGCCACTTAAACACCAAAAAAAATGAAAAAGCTATTTAGCTTTTTATCGCCATTTTACATTGATTCATCACTTTGCGTCCTGTGGGCAGCAACGTTTTTAAACCAGTATTGGACACTCACAAATCGGATGTACAAAACTAGATTTAGGTAAACAAGCATTAGGGAAGCCACACTTAAGTCTCTTGGGGATTTGCAACTTTCAGTATGCTAGGGAGAGCTACAGGAGTTGCAGCCAAGAGAAATATTTGGTAAAAAAATTGGAGTTTGGTCATGAGAAGGGTGCTGATGTAGAATTCTAGTTGTAAAGGTAAGGCAAAAAAGGCAATGTCTGGATTTTAATATTGCATGTGGTAAGCTTAGGGGAAGGTGTTTTGTGAGTACTGGAGTTAAGAAGCAGTGAGGCCCAGTGACCCGCTATTGGCAGGAGTTTCTTATGATTTAAATTATTTTTGTTGCGGTTCAAATGTATTAAACTTTAGTTTTAGCAACTTTGGTGTTCTCTAAGCACATGCTTGTTCTGCTGGTGGATACAGAAGAAGCTTATTTGATAACTAAGCATAGTTTTTACTCTGTATTGGGTACTTAGAAGAATAAACTACGTGTAGACTTCTCATGTGGCAGAGGACATGGTAATGTTCACTACTGTTTCAGTTACTGATTTCTGAGATGGGTGTGTTTTACTTTTAAAAAATACGTGCTTCTCTTCAACATATTATAGTTTGTTGCAGTTAAAATATGTATTTTTATGATGTCTGTAGAAGGGGCAATATAAACGCATGTAAAGAGTTAAGATTTAAAAAAAAAAAAAAAAAAAAAAAAAAAAAAGTCTGAGTTGTATCTCCTTGCCCCATTATAATTTAAATGACAGAACTGTTGCCTGGCTTTCAAAGGAGTTTCTCTTAGACTTCTCAGGTTATTAGCATAGTTCATAACTGTGTTATTCAAGAAAGCTGTCTTTTCAATGTTCTGTCCTTCTTTTAAAGTGAGTTACATGGGGCAGGATGGGATCTTCTGCCACAATTTCCCTTTTGGAATTGCTGTTTGAGTCAAGTAAATGGCAAAGATGATACTAGGTACTAATACTGCCAACTTCAGTAATTGGGCTTTATAGGATATTGAAGCCTTCGTGTTTTCTGGGAAGGGTTGGAGGGGCTGGGGGAACAAACCTGGTTTTTATTATTTTGGTGATGCATGCTTCATTCTTGAATGTCGCAACAAATTGGAGAGCTTAATATGCTCATCTGCCAGCCCTGCAGAACGGGTTGCAAGTTGTGGCTTTGAATCAATCTGCGTGAAACTGCACATCCTAAGTGTAGCTGTGTTTCTTCTGAGCCATCCTTCAACTAACTTGTATCATTCCTGAAAAGAAGGCTTTCTCCAGTCCTTCCTCCGCCAGCTCTGAGCTCCAGCAAGGAGTGAGTAACTTCTGTGATGCCCAGCAGTGCCTTCAGGCCTTGGTGATTACACTTGACATGCCTGGTGTTCCAACTTGGTGCTTGCTGTGTGCGTGGGTACTCTTGCTCCATGTCGCACGTGATAATGAAGCCTGTACTCATTTATGCGTGGATTTAATTTTTTTCAAACACTGGCCATGGTGTCTTACTAGAGAGAGTCTTGTCAGTTGGCTGCATGCTTGCCTATGGTGCACTAGATGATACGGAGCTGGCTATTAACTAGATTTTTCAGGTTACAACTGTATGCAGGCTTGAAAAAGTATTTTTTACCCCTTCAGTTTATTTAATACTTTTTTTCTGAAAAATGTAGTGGTCATAAGCAACCAGCTCGTCAAGAAACTCCACTGTTTAAATCTTTAGGGGGTGGGAAATTATGCAGGGAAGGGAAGGAGATAGCAGAGTGAGGTAATAAATCTACTTAAGAATCTGCTTTCTAATTTAAAGAAGTCTACCCCTTCCCCATGGAAATATAATCTCTAAACTAAATGTTTTGCTGCACAATAAAAACAATAAAAACTTGCCTTATGGAGGGGGGGGAATACAAATTTAGCATTATTAAACCCACAAATCTTCCCCCTCCCTTTCATAACTGTTCTAAAGATTGTCTAAAGTTAGTGTAAACAATTTAGTGTGGGTTTTTAACCCAACCAACCCCAAAAAACATCACGACAGAAGGAAAGAAAAGCTTCCAAACATATATAGCGAAACTTGTTTATTTGGAGGTAGATGAAGGAACTTAGTTCCATCACCGTCTCCCAGTGCACGTGTGACAGTGTCTTTAAGAAGCAGTTTTGTGGTAATTAGGGGAGTAGCCTGATCTTGGAAACCAGCTTTTGAATTTTCTGAAGTCTGTTTTAGTATTTCAAATTTCAGTGTGAGTTTCTCATACAGGGAACTGTATCTTCTCTGGCAGTGTAGTCCTTGACATTATTCAAGCAGGCACATCTTTGGCTCTATAAGTGTAAACCTCTTGGTCAGGACATACCTCCTGCTGGAAGTTTAAAGTTCCCACCTATGCTGATGAATACACCTTCAAGATTTTTATTAAATTTGTGTGGTGACGGGAGCATTTAGTATGTCAGTCATAGTATGTATCTAAATGCTGCTGTACAGCTCTGTTGCTACAGTGCCTGAGTAAACACAGGGAAAGGTAGAAATGTTTTCTGATAGTGGATTTAAAAGGATGTGATTGTCTGCTTTATACAAATGTAGTGTTTTTCTTAACCTTTTGTTGAAGTAGGAATGAGGATGGTATTTTCATAATGTTATTTATAGCTTGTGATTAAGGACAGCTAAACAGGCATTTGACATCTCAGAACCTATCTGTTTTCATGGTTACTATTTTTCATTAGTCATCTTAGGTGTTGTCTATGAAAAATATGCAGACTGTGCAAATGGATAAAGTAAGCAAATAAAGCATATAAAATAAAGGCGTTGTGTTAGAGAATGAACCAGCAGTGGTAGAGCTGAGCCTGAAAGAACCAGTATTGTCCTTTCCTGTGGATGTTTTTCTCCCCTACCTCCTCATACCAGCTTCAGCATTCTGAAACAACATTCATCTCATGCTATGCAATGAATTTTGTATTTGTATGTATTATGTGTGAAATATATATATAAAAAAATAAATATATGTATATTAAAAAAATTTCAGAGAGTATCAACATACAGGTGGCTGTTGTGGTTTAACCCCAGCCGGTGGCTCAGCCCCACCCAGCTGCTCGCTCACTCCCTGCCACAATGATGGGGGAGAGAATTGGAAGGGTAAAAGTGAGAAAACCTGTGTTTTCAAATAAAGACAGTTTAATCAGTAAAGCAAAAGCCGCACGCCCAAGCAAAACCCGCTCAGGGATCCATCCCCCACTGCCCCTCGCGGGCAGGCGCTCGGCCATCCCCAGGACAGCAGGGCTCCGTCACGCGTAACGGTGACTCGGGCAGACAAACGCCATCGCTCCCAACATCCCCCCTTCCTCCTCCTTCCCCCAGCTTTACGTGCTGAGCTCAGTGTCCTGCGGGCTGGGATGTCCCTGGGCTCAGTTGGGGTCGGTGTCCCGGCTGGGTCCCCTCCCAGCTCCTTGTGCCCCCCCAGCCACTCGCTGGCGGGTGCTGCGAAGAGCAGAAAAGGCCTTGGCTCTGTGTAAGCGCTGCCCAACCAAAACATCCCCGTGTTACCAACGCTGTGCCCAGCACAAATCCAAAACACAGCCCCGTACTAGCTACTCTGAAGAAAACTAGCGCTGTCCCACCCAAAACCAGGACGGTGGCTTTGATAACTTGACATAAATTATGCTTTTATAGAAATGGGGTGTATATTACTAAATTCAAGCAAAAAAATATGAATCTTTGCTCAGATGGGCCAGTGCAGAGTGCTTAGAAAACTGCTTTACTCATGTATTTCAGATTCTTATTTAAACATCCTTCTCTACAGAACAGTGTCATTTGGGCACTTCAAACCCCTGTTTTTCTTTGTTCTTTCCCCTCTTCTTTAATCTTATTTTAATAATGCACAGCCCAGAATAATGAGCTGCCCATTACAAAGTTACCATCTTGAGCTGTAGCACTGTTGAAAGGCTTCAAGTCAGTGCTTTTTAGTCAAACTTCAAAATGTCCCCCTACCTGTTTTTTTTATTTTTTATTAAAAATTTCTTAAATTAGTAGTTACGGCCTGATGCACGGTTGTAATGCAAGTTCTACTTAATATGAGTGGTGTTAATGCATCTGTCTGTGTCCCCCCACCCCTTATTTTTCCCCCTTAAAGCTGCCCCGCTGTTGCTGTACGCGAACCGACGTGACCTGAGACTGGTGGATGCTGCGAACGGGAAGGAGAACGCCACGGTGATTGTGGGTGGCTTAGAGGACGCAGCAGCAGTGGACTTCGTGTTTGTAAAGGGGTTGATATACTGGAGTGATGTCAGTGAAGAAGCCATTAAACGAACAGAATTCAATAAATCTGGGAGTGTACAAAATGTGGTCATTTCTGGACTTCTGTCACCTGATGGGCTGGCATGTGACTGGCTGGGAGAGAAATTGTACTGGACAGATTCTGAAACAAATCGGATTGAAGTTTCTAATTTAGACGGATCACTGAGAAAAGTTTTGTTTTGGCAAGAATTGGATCAACCCAGAGCAATTGCCTTAGATCCTGCAAGAGGGTAAGTCTTTGTTAAAATAGTTACAAATATTAAAACTTGAGCTACTTTTTGTTTGTTGAATGATTTTAAATAAGTGATGGTACTGTTAATGAAGCTATGCTAAGACATTCTGCATTATTTGCTGCTTTTTCTAGTGTGATTTGAAAACAATTTGCACTTTTGAAATTGCAGTCATATTGCTTTGTGAACAACTAGAAATCATCAGACTTTAAAACAGTACTAGAAACTTATATTGGCAGTAGTGCAGAAGGTGAACAGAAATGGAGAAGTTTTAACGTAAAACCCGAGATAATCTGCTTGAAAAGGCCATCAGTTGCCTGTGGACAGACTTGTGGCTCTCTGCCAATATCAAGTAACGGAATTTTTTGGAGCTTTGTTCATTGTTGATATTCATGCTTTATTGAAACAGCCGAAGAAATGAGAGAAATCAGTGCACTGTATTAATAACAGTTTGAGACATGTTTTAGCACTTAACCAGAACGTTTGCAGAAGGGTTCCTCTCCCCGCCCTTGAGGAAACTTTTGTTTTAAAAAGTCTTGTGTTTTGGCTTTACCCTGTTCTAGGACAGATCTAATTCCTCTCAGCTCTCATTTCAGTCCCTGGACGTGACCTACAGTATCATCTTTTTGTTCTGTTCTTAGGACAAAGCCATGGTTGCCAGAAATGTGGTGGTTTTGGTGATGTCATATAAATGGCAAGCTTGAGGTTTCCCCATAGGTGGTCACCTGTGGTAAAGTGACTGGCTCTCCTGAAGTGAAAGGCTAATGGAATATCCTTGATGCTGTGTAATCTTTTGATAGTTTTTTTTTAATCTGTAGTACAGATCTTATATTATATTATATTTTGTTCCCTGAACAAGCAAGAAAATGAGTCTATTGTACTACCATTTCATGTTTTCTGGGGGGAGAGAAATCAATGCATTCTTTCTTTGGCAAGATGAGGGTTGTTTTAGCTGCTTTCAGCTTTTTTACATTATAGTTTGTTGAACTTGTGTGTTTCAGTCTCTTCCTCCAAAAGAAGAAGGTCTCTTTGTAAAATATGGCTTCTTTACTGAACTACATAGAAATATCATATCTTGAATATTTTCTTCCACATTTTCAATAGACTCTTGACAACATATAAACGGGAAATATGTTTCTTTTGCATTACTTGTTATTTCCAGCTTTGGAAATAACAAAAGGATGGATTTATGCTTTTCCTATCTCTCTGCAACTTATTGGAGCCAATGATACAGTTAGTTTGATTTTTATTAGATTCTAAAACAATTTAAGAGAATGCAAGAAAGGATGTATAATGCTTATGTCCCTTTCACCCACCATCCCAAAACTGAGAGAGAAAAAGGAGGAAAAACACTCTGGCTTGTAATCAGGGAGACTGAGATCCTTCTTAGTTAGGAATAACATACATGTGTCAAACCACTTGGTCTTTTTTTAGAAGAGTATTTGTATTTTCTGAATCTGTACAGTAATATGCTCAGGGATCAAAAGGAGATGATTGCATATTCTTGCACTCTTTCATAATACTTTACACAGAGGAAAGTACCAGAAGAAAAATGAAATAGATCAAAGGTAAAGTGAACTCATAACCTTATCCATACTGATGATCTGTTAAAGCAGTAGGAGTAAACACTTAAACATGCCTAGATTTAAACAAAACAACTCAAAAACCCCAAACACCACCCCCCCTCTTCACAAAGCAAACAAAGAAACCCCAACCAAAACAAAAAACCCTTCCAACAGCTGTAATTGAAGGACAAAATTTTTTTTTTTTTCCTAAACATTTGTAGAGGTCGCTTCTGAAGTAGTTATATGAAGGGTATGTTTTAGGAAGGTAATACGGTAATAGATCTACTTTCTGTTTTACCATGTTGCAGTTGCAAAAATTGCAATTCTCATATGCGGTTTTATGACAGAAAACCTCTCAGCTTTCAGTAAATCTGATTACATTTCAGAATGGCCTCCAAAGCTTGAAACATAGCTAGAAGGGTGGCATCAGCACAGGGATGTAAATTAAAAAAACATTTAAAATTCCCAAGCCGTTCTTGTATTCACTAATATTTACAATTTTTTTAGTCCTGTAAATGTCTTGGTTTCACACTGTTGCCTGGCAGACGGTGGTAGCAATAAGCCATAAAAGGATCTAAGAGTGGTTAATAAAATCTGAAACTTGGAAAAGCAAAACCCCTCTCATTTTCCTGCAGTCTAATCCATCTGCTATTATGCTCAGTTGATGATTATTCCAGATAGAGTTTTATAAACTCTTACAATTCATGAAAAGAAATTATTTAGCAGCAAAATTTACACAAAGGTCATCGTTACCCACCAGTTCAATTTTTCATTAGTTTATTTGTCATACGTAGTTGATCTAAAGTAGCATACATTGAGTATTTCAGGCGAAGTTGATTTAAGTATCAAACTACTCATCTGTTCTGTGCTTGTGTGTGCATGTGTATTATATGTATCTTAATGAAAACGTGGGAACGCCTCCTTCGAAATGAAAAGTTAAGATCAGTATATGCTAGCACTAATATGTAGTCACAAATAATATATTTTCTTGGCAGTGTCCCATGTAGAAAAAATTAGATGTTTCATCAACACTCTGGTCTTTTTAGCAACCTGTCAGCTGTAGGATGCTCACTGGTCATCCTCTGAAGGTCACTACCCAGTTCAGTTATGAGGAATATAATTAGACTTTTTCAGAGCATGCTACAATAGCAGTAGGGGTGATTAAATAGTAACGGGTTTGGGTAGCCTTTGCCTCTGCCAAAACCATCGGTTAATTGTGTGTGATACGTGTAACTGAAATACCGGAGTAGAAGTTAGACTAGGTTCCTGTGTCTGTTATCAATAATGGGAAATGTAATACATTTACTAACGGAAAATATTTCTCAGTTGGTAACTGAGACACAGCGGCCAAGTCTAATTTTTACTCTGGTATTTTTGTCTAGGAAGCCATCAGAATCTAAAATGTCTAGACTCCTCTTACTGGCCATCTCCTGTGAACATTTTGAGGTTTGAGCTTCTCATTTCTCATGTAATATACTCCAACTTACTTTTTTCTATTTTAGTTGTCTAGATACTCAACAAAAATATTGTGTGTGTATACCAGGAGAAAGGAGAAGGGGCTTCAGATGAAGAGGAAGGGAATGGGGTGCTTGTTCAGCCTGCTTTTGAAGTGAGCCCAGGGGATTTCAGGGCAGTTGCAGAAAGGCTTCTCTGTCCTGGTTGTCGTTTCTGAAACTTCTCATTCCTGGCCTGTCTTAAACAGGAGACCCTCTTAATAAGATCAGCAGGTGGGAATAACACATACTCTGACAATTTAACGATGATTTTTTGCTAGGGGAGGGCCTGGTGTTAGACCACCAAGTGCAGGAGGGCACCAGATTTAGGAACTGCTCACGTGAAAGTTGAGCAAGTGGAAGAGAAGTTTTTCTGTTTCAGAACTCAAGATGACAAAAATGGCATCATCTCTTCAGATTCTTGAGCAAGTATGGCTTGAAAATGCTGTGTTGTGTATTTGGACTGCTGGTTTCTTGTTATTTTTTAAATTTGTACAGCCTTTTTGTCCTCAGGGAAGAGATTTCACTGTCATTGTTACAGTTCCCTCAAAATTACCCTTTAGACAACTTGATCAGCTTTCTTCATAAGCAGCACTATCAAAATGAACTGGCTTTTCTCACTTCTAGATATATTGTTCACCACAAAGGGAATTTTAAGTGCCTCCTAGAAGTGCTGACTAATTGCTTACTTTTCAGGACATGTTTTAAATCAAGTGACTCTATAGAGTTACCTTAATTGTTAAACTCTTGTAAAGCTTTCGGGTTGTAAAGGTTTTCAGTTAATGAATGGAATTAGAGTACAAAGGGCTACAACACTTTTTATGACAGCTGAAGTTGATTTCTGGATGGAGTACTTTGCAGGTTGGGCAAGATCTTCAGATTTAACACATACCCTTCCCCCAGCAGACTTTTCTCTTATTTTCTTCATGCAAAGCCTTTGCAGGGAATACATATACTTTTCCTACTTTATGAGCCTACTTCTTTTGTTTCTTTCAAAGTTGGAAACTTGTGTCTCACCATGTCAAGCACAAAAGCAATTGTAATACAGGCCTTGCATCTGCACATCATAAAAAAAGATTAATGGAAACTGGTAGAATTTGTTGCAGTGGTAGATGTTATACAACAACATAAGGAAAGGAAAACGGGTAGTTCTAATAAGTTACAGCATTTTGATTTGGTGAAAAAACATTTTAAAAACGTAAAAAAATCAGAAATTTTCTTTATAAATTTACCCATTCAGCGAAGGGTTTTTTATTTGAATGCAAGTTAATATTATATAAAATGGCACCTTAGATGTAAATTCCCCAAATAATGCAAATAACTGAAGACTTTCATAGCTTCTCTTGCTTGATGCCACCTCTCCCTTGAGCAGATTGCTTCCGGCTGCAAATCTACTGCTGCTCTGCTCATACTAACATATTTCATGGGCAGCAGATTAGTGCACTCAGCTAATTGTTTGCTCTATAGCCTGGCCTGTGCAGTAAGGAGTTAATTTTGAGATTTTACAGGCATCTTATGTGCGAGTGTTAAGCTGATATGAAATCTGCACACTGCTGTGGTGTTGGCATGTAGGTTTATAAGGTGTGTTTAATCTTTCTTCACCTAAGAAGTCTCTGTTGATCAGAAGATGATGTTGGTTGCAAATACATCACTAAATTCTGGTAACAGCTAGGATATTAAGCAAGCCAAAAGGTATTTTTTTGTGACTTAAAGATAACGAAGCTAGTGCAAAAGATTGCGGTAGTATTGCACAGGTTGTCGTGTCACACTGCATCAGGAGTGGCCTGTCTTGGCTCTGGAGCTGCATGTAACTCTTGGAAGATATAAAATAGAGCACCGGTGTCACTAAGCATGGGTGACTACAAATCAGAGAAGACTGCCTAGGCCAGGATTATACTGCATGATTCAAAACCCAACAGAGTGCAAAGCAGCGCTTCATCCC